CGCATGCAGCAGCGCAAATCCCTTTACGAGCACGCAGTTTAGTGTCCACTCCGAACTGGAGAAACAGGGAAATGACAGAAATGCTGGTGAGATGGCACCCTGGGGATCCCTAATCCAGCCTCCCACTTGAAGCAGGACCAGCTCTTGAGGACATGAGCAGGGGCTTGGTCCAGCAAAGCCCTGAAAGCCACCCAGGATGGAGATGATCTGTCCTAGACCTGCACTATCCTCCTGATTAAATATTTTCAGAGAAAAAAAAATCTTTTTTTTTTTTTTTTTTTTTTCCCCAGGCAGCATCCCAACCAATTCCTAGACAGCTTGTGCAGCCAGTTATTCCCAACTTTTCCTGCTCAGGAGCTCCATTTCCTTTTTATCCATCCAGGACCAAGTGTTTGTGAGCAATCAGCTCTGTCCTGTCACTCTGCAGAGGGAGGGATGGGGCAGGACCAGCTGCTTTGGTGTCACCTCTCCCCCTCAGTTTGGTGAATYTTAAGCAGGCCTGACAGAGGTCTCAGAAGGATTCTGTATTTGCAGTTTCACAAAATTAGGCAGCCTCTAACTGATGCTGCTGCAGAAGTTGCAAGGCGAGCAGATCTCCTTTTTATACCCCAGGGTTTCCCTGCTCTCTCACACAGAGAGCCAGATTTCCCCGTCCCCACTGTCATTTCAGAAAATGGAATTAAACTCCCACTCATGGAAAATCCGCATTTCTCCTCTCACATGCACACTGCAGCCCCGTGTGATCATCCATTTTATATTGCTGCTGTCCCTCATGTCCAAACGTCTTGCAGCTTTTAATTAAGTCTGCCCAGCAATGCAGAGCAGCCTAGCGCTGTCATCAGCTCATCTTCCCTTCTCTGGGGTGGGGAGGGGATCGAGGAACGCAGAAATGAGCTCACCCTCAGCCCCACCACCAGCCTGGGGCAAAAATCCACATCCTGCCCGTGTCACCTCTCTGCCACTCTGCCTGCGGGCTCCTCTTTCCAAGGAGCTGTGTCCTGTCCCAGTTCTGACACAGAAGTGGCAGTGGCAGCCTCTCTACTCAGCTGGAAGAGCCCATCTCATCACCTCATCCCTCTTTGCATCCMACCTCTGACACTGAACAACAAAGCTTCTTTATTTTTTTCTAGATAAGTTTTTTTTTTCTTTTTTCCTTTTTCTTTGCTAGAGAAGATTTGTTTTTTCTAGAACTCGCTTCAGCTGAGAAGCATCATCAGGGAAATTCCCATGCCAGTGCCTCTGCCTGGCTATTTGCATGGAGCATTCCAGTGCTCAGCCCACTTTCTGCTCTGCCTTATAGCAAAATAATCAGCTTCTGGGAGAAGGGGAAAAAAAAAAAAAAAAAAGGACAACATGACAACATACTTCAAAGCAGTGGGCTGAAGCTGTTAAGTGTTCTGTGGCAACGGGGATGTTTTCTGGTCTGAGCAGGACCCCAGTCCCAAAGCCAAGCTGAGCTTCATCTGTTTTCCAGCCTTCCTGCAGTACCTCGTACCCAAGGCTCTCATGACTAGGAACAACAACAAGGATGGTGATAATGAATATTCAGACATCCCACAAACCACTCTCAGCATCTGCCATCCTATCTGCATTAGCATCAGTGTGCACAGATAATGATCAAAGCAGCGTTTTCCTGCCAGAGGCCCCCCTAAACCACCCTTATTAGTATGAATCGATGCTGATTAATGTGCTTCCCTAATGCAATTGTATCCACTCCTACTGTTCATGATTTAATATAAAACATCTCCCCCTTTGCTCGCCGTCCTCCTCATGCCACATGCGAGGTGCAAACCGTTACTGAGGGCACCAGGAAAATCAGTGATCCAAGTTTTACAAGGGACCTAAAATMCAGTGAAATGGAATGTGTGGAAGGAGGGAAGGAGACTTTGGAGGCTGCAACAGTGAACTGCCTTTCCATGCCAGGATGGAAGATGGGGATCTAGGCTTCCTATGAAAGGTATCATCAGCTCTGAGGTTCTACTGCAACTCTGCTTATGCAGCATATAAAATAACCCTGCCCACTGCAACAGGCTCTGTGCTTGCTGGACTTCAGTAGTGATGGAAGGAGGACTCTTCCATGATTTTGTGTTGCTTCCTTTCCAACACCTGCTGTAAAAAGGAGGAAATGCTGCATTTTGCCTTATGCTKCTCTTAGCACCACCAGTGGCTTTGCCTTGGTGGGTTCCAGTGTAAATGACTCCTAATGTGCTGTGTCCATGTTCCCACCCAGGGAAATCCCCACTGAACAGCCAACACTGCTTCAATCAGGGATGGCTGAAGTCCCCTGGCCTGATTTGAAATCCTCCCCAAACCCTTGGTCACTGTGGCTGGTGTGAGATCTGCTGCCCATCAGCCTTGGCACAMGAGCAGGGSTCAGACCTCACTCAACAAAATCACRAGTGCCCCAAGGAACTGCCTGACAGAGCAGCAAACTAAAAACCAGCCAACCTAAAAAAAGTATGGGAGGAAAGGGGCATTGAAGGAGAAGACTGCACAGAAAATTCCCCTGCTGCGTATCAGCTGCTTTTCTAAGGGAAGGAATGATATCCTTAATGCAGGATATGTGCCTCCCTTGGGCTAGTCTAGTGCAAAGAGCAATTGCCAGACATCATTCGGTAGGAAAGAGGCTGCTGTGTTGGAATTAAACAGTTGACAAAATCCCAACAGCTTTACAGATTCTCGAAGTCAATTTAAGGAGCCCACAAAATGAGATTTTGCCCCTGTGGGTTTCAGTAAAGCGGAATGTTCTGGGGCAGTGTGTGCACAGCCTGGCTTTTAACTGCGAGAATTGGCTGTGGCTCTGCTAATTCCCCACAGCCAGACTGAGTCTGAGATCCCTCCARAAATGCACAGGCTCACTTTTTAAGTGACCAATTCCGCCAGCAGGGCCAGATATTAAAAACAAACAGCTCTCCAGCATCCAGCCAGCCTCCCACCTGATGGCTCCATCTGCTCTGCTGAAGCACAGGAGGCTTTCCCCTCCTCCTCAGCTGACCACGGTTTGTCCCAGACTTGTATTTCCAAAGGGCTCAGGTCCCTGCAGCTCCAAACACCACACACACATGGCTGGAGCTCCCCCAGCACYCAGCTCCCTCCTTCAGCTCASTGTGAGGTGTTTGGCCAGGAGATGCCCTGGCTGCCCTCGCAGTCCTCTCTAAGCTCTCTCCCTAAATACTTCCACTGTATTTTGTCTCATCTCCAGTTTCTGTTGGGAATGGTGACTTCTCCATCTGCCAGACCCTCTCAGACACACCCCGTGCACACAGAATGCTGATGCCTGTTTTCTCCCCTGCTGGAAGGAGGATGTTGTGTTTCCCTCCTGCTCTCTTTCATAAATGGTTCAGCAATACTCAGCAGAAACAGAGAAAACAGATCCCTTTCCACTTCCCATGCATAAAGTTCATCCTGAACTGAGGTAAGACTTCCAATTCACATAAGTTTCCTACAAACCAAAAAGGAATTTGATCCTCACCCCTGCACAGATAAAACTACATATCAAAGGCTCCACATGCAAACATGATTTTGGGTCCTTTATAAAAGCGGAGGAGGCAAAGTGGTGGCACAGCCTGCCTGCTCTGGGTGTGAATCCTCCGTCACAGGAAACCTTCCAGGTTCCCCACAAACCTCTCCAGACGTGACACAGGTATGTCTGAGCCCGCCTTGGGGAAGAGGCACGGATTAAATGACCTCTCAAGGTCCTTCCAGACCCGTTTCTCCGTGATGCTTAGAGACAGGATCCCAGGCTTGATGGATCTGTGGCCTGACCCGCAGTGACAGTGTGTAGATGTGTCTGAACACATCCATCGCGTGGCTCTCTCCCCCCAGCCCCTGCAGCCTCTGTGGTGGCATCCCAGGCTGCACAGCTCTTTAGCAGAGGGCAGAGCTGGTGCCAGAGGCGAGGAGCAGGGCAGGGATCTGTGGCTGGGTCGCAGTGYGTGTTGGCAGGCAGGGCACGAGGGGAGCTGGGCAGAGCACGGCCAGGAAGGCTCTGGGGAAAAGGCATTTTCTCTGCTGCTCTGTGGCAGCATCATTTCTAGGTTTGGGGCTGTCTTCCCCTGAGCTGTTTGGGAGAGGACAAGCCAGGGCAATATTTGTAACCTGCCCTTGCTGCTGTGAGGGGAGAGGGGGCTGCACAACAGGACCATGTAATTATGTAAATRCACACTTGGCTGGGGGAGTTTCGCAGTCTCTTTGGGTTTTAGCACAAATCTCCTGACACTTGCTGGCTTATTCGCCTTCACTCTCCAAAGTGCTTGCTGCTTTAATAGGAGATTCATGTGAGCACCCCAGCTTTTCAGATTAAAATGAAGAGGAAAAAGTGTGTGTCTGGATAGCACAGCTGGCAAGAAGAGCTTGAAGCGAGCAACAACTCAGCCTTAAAAAACCTAGAAAATAAAATCCAAATTCTGCCTGTTTTCTGTAGTTTTTTTTTTAAATTCTCTGCAGTTGTTTAAACCAAGATCACAGTTCTGTGGGCAAGTCCAGCCCATACATGGAGATAAATCCTCAAAAGCCTGTGCTAGCAGCACACAGCCAAGGCTGCAGCACAGCAGTGTGAAAACTGTCACAGCGACGTGCKTGGTGACATCTTTATGTGAGCCCCAAGCTATTGGCAGTTCACAGGTACCAGTTTGGTACAGAGGCTGGGGCTGTCCAGAGCTCCATTGATTTGAAAAAGCTGCTGAGGAGCCAGCCTGTGAACTGTCTGTCACCACGAAGGCACAGCACCCACCCACCCCCTCRGCTCCTTTTCATCTGGCTCTGTGCCGTGCACATTGCCATGACACCGCGGCRCCTTCATCTCCAGCACCGGAGCGCTCCAGCCCAGCCTTTGAAGCGATTTGCATCGCCAGCTGAGGGCCACGGGGATCCAGAGGAGTGTTTCCAGGTGGAACAGGGACAGTGATGTGTCTCCCATCCACTCCCAGCCCAGAGCCCGCGGGATCTGGTGGAGTTTGCGCCGCCTCATGATTCACCCGCGCCACGGGAGCCCGCCATACCTGTATATTTTATATCTGGTTGTAAATCCTTGACGATGTCTTTCCACAAAGGATAAGTAGCTCCGTGAGTGGTGGAAAGGCCCCCTGTCTGAAATAAGCCAATCAAACTCCTTGGAGACATGTTGGTTGGTAGCAGCTGGGTCCTGGTGGGAGGGCTGTACGAGTATATGGTCCCATATAAACAGGAGGTAGAGGAACTCAACAAGCCTCCAGTTCATGCTTTTCTGTCTGCCTTTTTCCTCTCATTCTTGCTCCATTCTGTGGAGTCCTGTTTGAAAGAGAGAGGGGATAGGAGGAAGGGGAGAGAGAGAGAGAAATGGAGGGGAGGAGAGGGAGGAGGGACAGAAAGAGAGAGTTTAAAAATGGGAATTGCTCTGATCCTTTGACAACCGTCTCTCAGGGTGAAAACAGACGTGAAAAATCAAGTTTTAAAAGACTTYGGGCTTGCCTGTGTCACAGCTTAGAGTATTTGGCAGTGTTTTATTCATGTATTTAAGTGGTGCCTTTAACCTCCTGAGCATATATCACCTTTGAAATAACCAGGTCCTGACCTGAGCCATCCTCACCCCAGTTTCTCCATCATTTCCCTCGTGAAGTTCTCCACAGTGCTGCAAAGGCGAGTGAAGGCCRGGCACGGGAGGTGGCTGCACCCTAGGCTGCAATTACCCCTTTATTGTCCCTTTAATGCTGTGCCAGAGAAACGTGTCTCCCGCTTTCATGTCTCTCTGATGATCTGTAATCCATACTCTGTGCAACCTGAGCAATCTATAAAGACCCAGCTCTCACTTTCAAGCACTGCCAAAAAAAGAAATAAAACAAAATAATTACCCAGGTCTCAGCGACGAGCGCACGCGGACGCACAGACACACTCAACTGTGAAATCCTGCCAAACCCTGACACAGAAAAATGTCCTCACCCCGCTTTCCTGCTGGGGAGATGTGTGGGGTGCAGGGGATGGGGTCTGCTGATGTTTTTTGAGTTTTGGTGGGAGTTTGAGACTCTTCCCAAGTTCAGGGTTCTGCAGGTGACACGCTGAGCACACGCGTTCAGCGAGGGACATTCACCAGGGAGCTCTGGGGGTGTTCCAGAGAGCAGGGAACATTGTCCCTGCATGGTCAGGGGGGACAGCTCTGCCCAATCCCTGGAGTGTGACAGCACATCTGAGGAGTGGGAAGGGAATTGGGGGCGAGGTGCTTTGCCAAAGGTTACTCAGCAGCTCAGGGACACAGCTGGAGGAGAGCCCTGCTCCCCTGACTCCCATCTCCAGCAGCGCAGCCGTGAGCTCCCCGCCTCTGCAGGCAGCTGCTGGCACYGTGCCCCTCTGCCAGCACAGCCCCGAGTGCCCGTGGTGGCAGCTGAGAGGCTGGCTGAGCTGTCACCCTGCTCCCAGCATGGTCCCCTCCCACTGCCAAAGCACAGCGTGCTCAGCCGGCTGGGCTGTGCTTCTCCCTGCTTGGAAAAACTTTCCACACTCAGGGCTGGTTCCTCCTCCTGCCTTTGGGGTTTGGGGGAATGTGCCAACACCGTGGGCATAGTGGGACAGGCAATGATCTTACTCTGGGAGCACAAGCTGTCCTCAGGACAGGTGATACCCACCTGTTCCTGGAAAATACAGAGCAGAGGTACTTTTAAAAGTGGGAGAAATGAGGCTACACAGAGCGTTGCCACAGTGAGGTTTAGCACCAGGCTTTTCTGTACATTTCCAGAAAACCTCCTGGTTCTGAGCCTGAGCCTGAGCYCACTACAGGCACTGTAAMAGTTTRTAATTCCCAGAGAGAGAGGATTTTRCCAGGAGTGAAGGACAGGTGTGCTAGAGGTGCCACCCACATTCACCTCGGCTGGTGTGAGCAGAAAGCACAGTGTTCATGGTCCATGTGGACATCTGCTCTGCTCCAGGAGCTGTCCCTGGAGACTGGCAGGGCTGTGTCCCACACAGGGAGGGTGTGAGGCTGTCTGGGTGTGACAGGGAGCTCAGGGTCCCTCGGTGTGTGCCGGAGCGTGTGGGAACTCTCACGTGTGCACAGCATGTGTTCGACGAGCTGCAGTGAGCTCAGCAGCACTTGACAGAACCGACTTGGGTAAGTCTGGTTAAAAATGACACTCAGCTGTTGCATTACAGGAAGAAATGGGAAAAGAAAAAAAAAAAAAAAGTATGGGAAAGTCAGCCAATGYTTGATTTTTCTGTTGGTCACATATAAAGTTCTTTCTAATTGCAGGTGGAATATTACTGTTATTAAACCTGATGGTGCCTGCAGCTCCCAGCTGAGGAGGTTGTTCCTGCTCTGGAGACATGTATTTAACATCAGCCTTCAGCACTGACTCCTGATTCAAGCACAAACAGGGCAGTTCTCGGTGCTTTAATCCCTCACAGCAYACAAGGGCTGGTTCTACCTTACCCTACAGARCAGGRGAGTTTCTGCCCCACTCTGRGGGGAGCAGAGCTCATTCCAAGGGGGCCACGGCACATCCCTGTTTCTGCCTCAGGTGGTATATGGGGGAATGCTCCCAGCTACATCCCACCCTCAGGATCTCCAGATTGCAGCTTAGGAATTTATTTTCTGCTGCTTCTCCACCCAGGCTCCTTCCCTTTCTGGCTGCTCTTGTCCCATCAGGGTGAGCAGCTKCAAACTCAGCATTTGCCACGAGCTGGGGGTGCAGAGAGCAATCAGCTGCTCTGTGAATGTTGTCCCAGCTCCCTCAGTTGTCTGTTCATCAAATTCACCCATAGATCTCCCCTCATCTGCCAGCCTGGATCAGTTTTCYCTTCAATATTTCACTTTCTATTGGATTTCTGTTGCAGGGAGAGGAAGGAAGGTCTCACATACACAAGAAGGGGGACAGAGACTCTCCAGCTCCCAGCACGTTGCAAGGGAGAGCTGAAATCTGAGAAGAGCCAAATAAAATGGGCTCAGAAAAATCCCAGTGTGTCCTTCTATATGTGAATATCACACACTGGGGAAATASCAGCTTGTGAAAGAGGAGATATTCCCTAATTCCCCACACACAACCCTTCCTCATCCTCCCTTCCTTTCCTTCGGTGCACAGTTGAAATCAGGATGATTAGGGGTGTGATGGCTCTTACCCAAGGGGTAAGATATGGGGAGAACATGCCTTGAGACCCCTGAAGAAATGTTCACATCTGCAGCCTGGAGATGCCTGGATCCRTTCTGAGAGCAGGGAATGGTGCCTGAGGCAATGGAGGATGGTGGAGCACGACTGGGTCCGGGCTACTATCACACCATCAACTTTAATTTTTTAGTAGTATCTTTTTCCCCCCTGTAGCTGCTGTAGAGATGTTGTTTCACATTAAAGATTCATCCACTCCACAGGGCTGGTCCCCGTGGAAGCTATAAAGCTCACTAAAGTGGGATTATCTTGTGTCTGAGGCAATATTGTGAGGTGCATTCAATCCACCTCCTAACGAGCTTGAATCTGAAATTAATTTGGTAGGTGCCTTTATGGGGCTCCACTGATGTGAAATATTTTCTGTGGGTTTGCAAAAGGGACTGGGGAGGAAGCAGGGAGGGGATGAATCCAGGTATAGAACCCTTGGGTGGGAGACCCAACTAAAGGCCAGAGCTGGCTCAGAAGCAATCTGTGAGCTAAAGGAGAGGCTCAGGGGAGCCAGACACTGAGTTTTGGTCCAAGAACCCAGTGTTTCACTCAACTCTGCCCCAAACACCCTCTMTGAACGTACATGTTGGTTTTTGGCCTCACTTTCCAATTACCAGCACAGAGCCACAATAATATTTGTGTGATTACCTGGACCATGAACTGGTTGGAAAGGCCACAATGGGGTTGTAGCACTTCCCAAAACACAAACTGCTGCCCACATGACTCCAAAGGTGCTTCTGTCCCACATGCAATGACTGACAACCCTCTCAGCAAGCTTTGCCATGCAGCAGTTAAAAAATCCAGAAAAAAACCCATTTCCACCGAGAAGCACAACAGAGTGAGTGAGCTGGGTCCTTCTGGCTCGTGTCAACAAACAGCATCATGCAATCATCACATCAGTTAATAAACATGATCCGTGGGTGAGCCAGGACATGGCTCCAGCTCGCAGCAAACAACAGTGGGAGAAGGAAATGTTGGGTGTGCTGWCTCTGAGTCACTGTACAGTCATTTTCCAGCATGGTCCAGCATGGAGCCACATCCCCCAGAGCACGTGGAGATGCCTCTTACAGTCCCTTGCAGTCTGTTAGGTGCTTTAAGGTGCCCTTTTCTTATTACAAATTCAGCCTGGAACATCAAATGTTCTTATCTTATGAGTCTCCAGGATTCTTGGAGGAAAAATAGGCAAGTACTTTCTGTAAAGTGCAAGTTGTATTTGAATGTACACTTAATTTCTTTGTGATTGATATCTGTGTGTTAATTATATTCTATTTTCGGCAATACCTTTGCTGTCACAAGGCAGTGCCTTTTATCCAAGGAGTTCAAATTGAATTAGAGACATTAATTAAAGCTCTCAGCACTCTAGTAAGGCAGGCAAGTGCTGTTACTCCCATTGTTTCTTGAAATAAGAAGAAAAGAATAGAGCTGGGTGTCTACTTAGCCACTTAAAAGGTAATTTTTATACAGTGGGAGAGCTCAGAGTGATATATTTTGCACAAAAATTGTATTGCAAGGTGTGTTTCATCCGAGGGAGGCTGTGCAGCCCCAGATCCCCACCATAAACAGGATRCAGGTGCTCTGACCCTCCACCGCTTGCTGTGAACACTCCTGGGATTTTTTATCTCTCCCCTAGCCCCTGTACCTTTCATTTATCCCCTCTATTAGATCCAAATTGTCCTTGAACACATCCCTTCTGTTTCTCCATGCTCACTGTTGTGAGCMGTTTCCACCAGAAACGCAGACCCGGCAAAGAGAAATTACCCAACACATTGTTTGCAGCAAAAGAATAAGTCCCCTATCTCTTTAAGCTTCATGCACCAATAATTCTTCCTTGTGTCCCACATTTGGTTCCTGGCAGGTTGAGAGAGGTTTCTGCCTGCTGCCATTTACCAGAGGGAAGAGGCTAACAATTGCTATTTGTATCTGAAGCACTCCTGCTCTGCAGCAACTCCGCGCACTGCTTTAGGATGCTGATAAATTAGTGAGAGACTSAAGTGTCAGGGGAGAGATGAAACAGCTTATGTTGGTTTAGAGCTCGACCCCGTAAAGTGACGAATGTCTGACCTCATTTCAGCAAACAGCTTAAGTGTACCCTTATTTTTAAGCACGGGATGTGCTCCTCTAGGTTTTATTCAGCCATCCCTGCTTGGAGTTTTG